CGTTGTCCCAAACTATGACATAGACAGGGTGCCCTGGCTGCTCACGATTCTGCTGCACACGCCCAAACAAGACTTGCCCAAGGCCATCTAGAAATGCAAGGAGGTGCTGGCTGTTATATGGTCCCAAGGTGGCATGACGGTGGAGAACCCCTAGATAACTCATGGCTGCACAGATTGTTACATTGCCACCACGCTGGCCAAAGAGTTGGACAATGGCCCTTGGCCAATCGTGTTCCTGCCTCTCCTTCTCCTCTTAGTCAGATTGAACCCGGCTTCATCAATAAAAATAAATTCATGTGGTCTTTCCATGGAATCCAATTCAAACATTCTCTGTAAAAACAGATAAAGCTTTGTAACTGCTACAGAAAGACAGACCTATGCTGTAGAGTGTATATACTCCTGATTTACATACATTACAATATATTGCAGCTAGTATGTAATAAACTGTAATATTGTACTTTTGTGTAAACAATCAGTACTGAATGTGTCTTTGAGTGTACGCTTACTTGCACACACTGAAATCGTTGATCTTTGACCCTTTCTGAGTTGCGCTGAAAGGGTACCCTGTACACTTGCTTCATGCACACCCTGTTGTGTTGGAGAACACGATCAATGGTGGAAACGCTGACACTGTTGATTCCTTCAAAGTTTGCATTGTCTTCAACAACTCGCTACTGTATTTCACGCAGTCTGATGGCATTATTCTGCATGACCATGTCAACAATGAGAGCCTCTTGCTCCTGGTTGAACATAGGAGTCCTTCCACCCTCATGTGGCAGTCCTGCAATTCTACAAAAAGAGAACATGCCTTTACAAAAACATACATGCAGTACTGTAAAAACAGTAGTGGACCCCACACAGTCTCCTTTATATCGGCAAAGTGATGTACTGAAATATCTGTATACAAATGAACTTTCAATGACCAAAAAAAAAACCAAAATAAAAAAAATTGCCTGTTCTCTTCTCTGAATCTCCTGATTATAGTGGCCACAGAGAATCTGCTCAGATTCAGTTGTACCCTCTGTCCTGCTTCCCTCATTGTCATGCCATGCACAAGAACATGACCAATTACAGCTGCTCGTATTTCATCTGAAATTACTGCTCTTGGTCTTGGTCCCACTCTTGCTCGTCCTCGTCCTCCTTCTATTCCTCCTCGTCCTCCACCTCTTACATGCACTTTTCCTCATCCTCCTCTGCCTTTCAGATAGTTGTCCTCCATCTTTGTTTCAACCTTCAACTCACCTGTGCCCTCTGAACTGGCTTATATTGGCTTCATCACATCATTAGCAACAAGTTTGAACAATTTAGAGTCGTTGTGTGTAAGCGATGACATCAGTGCTGTAATTGGGTTTAACGTCTGACACCTGTGTCTTACCATTCTGCATCACAGCATCACAAAAATGTGTTTATTGAATGAGAATGTGTTTAGAGTTTTGCAAAAAAGAGTGCATAAGATCTGCAAATTGTGTCTAACTAGGTGAAAACTGCTTAAGGTTTTGCCAAAAGAGTTGCTTGATTCAAGAAATGAGTTCAGGCCACTGAGAATTTGGTTCAGAGAATGGAGTTTAGTGTTTTAGCAAATAAGAAAAACTGTAATTACTTTTTTAGCCCTTTTTTGCCTGTGTCCCAACTTTTATTAGACCTGTTGCAGCCAGAAAATTTCAAATAACCTCAGTTTGTGGATAAAAATGTAAAACGTCTCAGTTCCAACATTTGAAATGTTATCTATGTTCTATTGTAAATAACATATTGGCTCATGTGATCTGAAAGTCATTGCATTTTGATTTTATTCACAATTTACACTTCGTCCCAACTATTTCTGAATTGGGTTGTATTATAGTGAGCAAAAGGAGAGCAGGAAACACTTTCAAAATCGTTTCAAATACAAACTTCAAAATATCCATTAAAACTTTTGAGTTTGAGACCTTTGCATATCTTGCATATTATTAAAGTTCAATCATGCGCTTGTCGTGACAGTGTCCCTGAAAGCACCACTTCCAAGTTCTCCAAGCACTGAGATTTTTACTGAATATGACCCTTGTTCTGCTCTCCCCATACTGTTGTGCTGTTCATCATTATTGCATTGCTTGTGATCAAGAGCACATATTTAATCACCCACCCCCTCACCCCCATTCCTCATGGGTCCTCCCAATGATGGAGGTCAAAGAAAAATTTTTCTGAGTGTACGGAGAGTGAAAGAGTCTGTGCAGTTAGTTTCGGGCCTGTGCGCCTGGTTTTAGTGTCTATGTGTAGGCCGTCACAGCTGTGGTTTGGAGGAAGATAAGAGTGAACAGAGGCTCCCTCAGTAGATGGAATTCCTGCTCTGTGCATCTAACGCACTACGCCATCCTTCCATGAACATAGCCAATGCTTGTTTGGCGCTGCTCCTTAATGTTTCTGCAGGGATGGATTCAATTGTTTGTAACCTATAAAAATATACAGAACAGAGAGCACGGCTGGGATTGTGGGCCATTTTACACAGATGCGGTTGTGGCTTCAGAATTTCAGCTGCATTGGTGAGGTTTTTTGGAGGATTGCACTATCCACAATCTGTTTCAGGGTGAGAAGCACAGCAGCGCAGGTGAGATTTGAAAATATTTCACAGTTCTGAGGTCTGAGGACCAGTGGCGGAGCTAGAAATGGGAACTGGGGGGGGCACAGACACGTCCCTTTATGACAACAATTAGTCCTGGCTAGTTCTCAATCATTTTCCTTTATTGACACGTTTTCCAATTATCGTAATTGGCAACTGAAGACACAGTTTCTCTCCATATGCGATCTAACAGCGATGAAATCATGGGCTAAATTCAGTTCAGAAAAATAATGTACTTATTAGTTACTATTTAACTCGGCAGTTAAATGGGCTACGAAAAGCGTGCGGCTCAAGCCATTTGCGCAGGTATGCAATTTTGAATAACGTTGATTTAAATACAGAAAATACACGTCCAGATGAATGATTGTCGTCTTACCTAATCAGGGAGAACAATCAGCACCTGTTAAGTGTGGAGTGCTCTCGGAGTGAACCTTTCGTTGATCATGAAAATGACTGAGAACAGGTCAGGACTAATAATTGTTTTAAACGGATGTTTTGTGCACCCAATTCTCAGTTCTGGTTCGCCACTGTACTGAATTTAGCCCATGATTTCATCGCTGTTAGATCGCATATGGAGAGATACCATGTCTTCAGTTGCCAATTACGATAATTGGAAAAAGCGTCAAGAAAGGAAAATGATTGAGAACTAGCCAGAACTAACTGTTGTCATAAAGGGACATGTCTGTGCCACCCCAATTACCATTTCTAGCTCCGCCACTGCTGAGGACTGAGGTAAAGGACACCAGTATTGTGCAAATATTCTCAGCTTTGCATTGTAGTCACTGCCTTAGCTCAGAAATCTTTTTATTCCTGGTGGAATGGATTCAACTTGACAGCAGATTAAAGGCCTATGCAACTAAATTTACTCAAGCATTTGCGCATGCGCGCACGCACACACACACACACACACGCGCGCACAGACAAAGACACGGACATGCCAAGCAAAACATGGAGGGGATACAGCTTTGCCAGCAAGTCCCGAAGGAGAAATGGTATCACAATAACAGTCTGAAATTCATGTGATATTCCTCATTTTCAACTTTTATACAATATAGCTGGCTGGAAAGCTTCGGTGCTTCAGAAAGCCTCAGTTCGCCATCACTATCAATAGTGGTAAAATGAAAATCATTAGAATAATGTAATCGCTGAGGTCAGAGGAGAAAGTGTGAGTAGCGAGGCTGCGCAGGATTGTCTACAGCGAGTCTACGGCTGTATCACAGGGATTTATGAGGAAATGGCCACCTAAGGCAGTTAGAGTGGGTGTATGAATGGGTGTTGATTGGGAATTTAGGATGATTTTTCTGAAAGAAGGCTATTTCGGTGAGTGGCATTGTCCAATTTATGATATGAGCATTGTCCGTGTTGTCTGAGTCAGTGAAGAGTACTTTCAGTCCCCCCAGAAATGTAGTAATTATGGTGTAAGACTCAAGGAGGGGCAGATGAATCGGTGTGACCTATCAGCGGGGGCTAAGTATGCTTTTTTGGGTCGGACTCGCCCAGTCTGGTGATGTTGCTCAGCAATATCTTCTTGGGGTGCAACCAGACTATATCATGATTGGACTTGTGCAGATCGGGAGGGATGGAAAAAAAGACATGACATGTCCAGGAACTCAGGGGAAGCCTGTGAACGTGACACAAAGATGCACATCCCTGTGCTAGTCCCGGGGCTGAACGAAGTCCTATATGTGTGTCCCAATCCCTTTCCATAGGGAAGGAAACCAACGTGTTTAGTGCATAGATGGTGAGTAGGATGCCTGGGTTTTGCATTATGGAGAAAATACGTTAATGGGACTAAATGGATGCTTCCATCCAGTAGATGTTTACGAAAGCGCTCTAAAAACTATGCATGTATTTATGAGGGGGAGAGAACACACAAGAACATGGGGATGAATGGTTGGAGGGAAGTGATGTTTTCATAATTGGCATTAACCAGATTTTCTTTACAGTAGATTGCCTGCAAAACAGAAGCTTCAATAAGAATTTATGTGGAGATTGGGCGGACAAGGGAACAAGGGGATGAGGAAACAGGGGGAAACAACCGTAATAATAATGTGAAGAACTGTTGATGAACAGTTCACAAACAGTTCATGATTTAGTTAATAAATTACTCACGAACTGTTCCTGAACACTAAATAGCTGTTCATGAACTTTGTGCATGGAAAACATTCATGAACAGAAAAGTCTTCTCCGAGCCAGGTGGCTGATCAGGCTGGTGCTTAACCCCGGTTTCTGTAGCATGAAGCAACTAGGAGTATTTTTGCTCCCCCTTCGATGGGATGCTAGTCCATCGCAGGTTACCCCCCAGCTCCTATTCAGGTTTCCCCAACCATTTGCTGCTACCCAATTGTACTCCTGGGTGGAGTGGGACACTGTGGGACTGTGTTTTTGCCCAAGAACACACAACAAAAGCCATAGCACGGACTCGAACTGAAGACCTTTTGATCACAAGTCAAGCACACTTAACCACTGCGCCACCACATAACTTTCTCCTGAACCATTCAAGAGATGTTCATAAACATTCATGAAAATACGTTCATGAACTTTTCGAGAACATTGTTCATGAACGTAAGTTCTTGAACATTTGAAGAACATGTGAGAAACTTTTTGTGTTATTTGGCGAACTGTTCATTAACTATTTATGAACTACAAGTAGTTTGTGAACTAATTTCGCCAGGGAAAGGCATGGAATTTCAATGGAATTTGTCATACTTTCTTATACAATGGAGCGTCTGAAAAATACAATGCAATGCAATAATTCCTGGGGGGGATGAGGAGCGAGGGACAAAAGGAAGGGGGACGAAAAGGAATGGGGGATCGTGGGGACAATGGGGTGTGAAATTTTGTTAATGGAATTCATTGCATGGTCTTGTCCAGTAGGGCATCTGTAAGACAAAAGCTTCAAAGTCATATGGGGATGACGGACAAAAGGAAAGGGGGAAGAAATGGAATGAGGGGACATGAAATTTTACCACTGGGATTCATCACTTTCTTTCATCCAGTAGCTCACCTGTAAGACGAGGTAATGACTGCGTTTGAAATAATGCAATAAACACGTTAGAGGCTGAAGGGGCCAAGGTAGCCATGTTTGATTTTTGCTACAGTGAAAAAAGAAGAGAGGATCGGATGAGGGGACAACAGAAGAGGTTTGGCAGCAGTGACGGTTCTAGAACCGGGAACTGGGGGGGCGCAGACACGTCCCTTTATGACAATTAGTCCTGGCTAGTTCTCAATCATTTTCCTTTACTGACGCGTTTTCCAATTATCGTAATTGGCAACTAAAGACACGGTTTCTCTCCACATGCGATCGAACAGCGATGAAATCATGGGCGAAATTTAGTACAGAAAAATTATTTACTTATTAATAGGCCAGTGCTTCGCGTTGATTGATCAGGTCCGCGTTCGAATGAAATACCGCCTTTCACTTTCGGTATTGCGTGGGTTGATTAAAAAAAAAAAAAAAAGTGGCACTCGGCAGTTAAATAGGCAGCACGCTGCTCAAGCTATTAGCGTGAGAGTCGACAGGTATGTAAATTTGAGTAACATTGGTTTAAATACAGCAAATACGCGTCCAGATGAATGATTGTCTTCTTACCTAATCGGGGAGAACAAGCAGCAGCTGTTAACTGTGGAGTGCTCTCGGAGTGAACCTTCTGTTAATCATGAAAATGACTGAGAACAGGTCAGGACTAATTACTGTTTTAAACGGATGTTTTGTCACAATTCTCAGTTCTGGTTCCGCCACTGTACTGAATTTAGCCCATGATTTCATCGCTGTTCCATCGCATATGGAGAGAAACCGTGTCTTCAGTTGCCAATTACGATAATTGGAAAACGTGTCAGTAAAGGAAAATTATTCAGAACTAGCCAGGACTAATTGTCATAAAGGGACGTGTCTGCGCCCCCCAATTCCCGGTTCTAGAACCGCCACTGTTTGGCAGAGAAAGGCAGAGGTTGCAGAAAAGAGGCAAATATCTGCCAGAGATAGTTGGGTTTCACAAGATCCATGACAAGATCTTTAATATTAAAACTGTTTAGAGATCTTTAATATTAAAACTGTTCAGAGTTACATATTACACATATACGTAATCACTGATGAAAGTAGGTCAAATGCTTGCTATTGTTTTTTTTTTTTTAACAACTTAATTTCTCAGGGGATGGCTCAGCACCAAAGCTTTTTCTTCCCTGCTTTGATAGACAGTATTGTACTATACCTGGTAGTTGAAACACAGCCATGAATTAGCTTAGTTCTGTTGAAGTTGGCAATTTTCCAAAGGAAATTTGATCACCTGCTTAATAATGAGGGGCCTGGAGAATGCATCAGCAGTTTGGAGAAAGATCCCACTCAAAAATGCCTGAGATGGGCCCAGTTTGTCAGTGCTACTTTGTTGCATTTTGCCAGGGGTCAAACAGTGAAGTAGCCCAAACTTTTTAGTACAGTCGCAGCATTTTGTTTTGGTGAAGCGATTATGTCCTGTACTTAGTCCACTAGCAGCTATACTGCTTTAATAGCTCAGTATCACTGTATTTTCTCATTTCACCCAGTGTGGGAGCTGGAGTTACCGTACCCACATTCACTGAACAAATCACTTGGCCTGGTTTTATTCCTTGATTTTTAGCCTGTGAAAGGTGTCTCTCTGAATGCTGAAATCTCTCCATTTAATTCCATGAGAGTACCTCTCTGTAAAGTTGATAGCAGTTTAGAAATGAAATCATGTTTTAAATTGCCACTGAGCAGATGGAGGCACTAAATAAAACATTTAACAAAGTACAATACATTCCTTAAAACCTGTCACTTGACAGATTATACAATTGAAGTTTAGTGTCCCCATTTGATCACATGCTCTGCCTCACTGACAAAAACAGCTTGAGCAGAGTTGAGTTGAAAACAGCACAATCAACCTCAAAGTGTTAGTGTAAAGCTACCCAGATTCATTATTTTTCATGTCAATCGTATTTTCTATAATTCGTTAGTTTACCCTCAATGCGGGGTAACAATGATACATTTTCAAGGCTAAGCTCAATATCCTAAACAGCTGAATATCAAAAGTTATATCAAGAAACTTCTGCATCAAGTTATAGAATCTCTATTTGATAGAAAAGCACTGCACCCATGAAACCCCCCTTCTCAGTGATTCATGGACAATTGCCATGATTTACAATTGCGATTTTGTCTCATAATTCTCCAAACTCTGCCCTGTTGTATCTCCAATGTCCACATGAAAGCTCTATAATACTTAATAGCAGAGCAGGAGTCATGAAAGTTGAAGAGAAGTGTACATTTTGGGACTGGTGCGCTCTGGTGGGTAGTGGAGTCCCGCAAGGATTGGTGTTGGGACCCCTGCTCTTTCTCATCTACATTAATGACCTTGATAGGAATATTGAATGCAAATTGGTTAAATTTGCAGATGGTACTAAATTGGGAGGTTTGGCAAACAGTTTAGAGTCCACTAAAGTGACTCAGGATGATATACAAGAAATTCAGAATTGGGCAGAAATGTGGCAAATGAAATTTAATGTAGCTAAATGTAAAGTTCTACATGTAGGTGATAAAAACATTAGCCAGGATTACTTCATGAGAGTTTTAAAAACTGGAATGACACATGAAAAAGATCTGGGAATGATTCACTGTGCCCTAGCAGTTAAAAAGGCCAACAGGATGCTGGGATATACAGTGCTGTGAAAAAGTATTTGCCCCCTTCCTGATTTCTTATTTTTTTGCATATTTGTCACACTTAAATATTAGAGATCATCAAACAAATTTTAGTATTAGACAAAGATAACCTGAGTAAATACAAAATTCAGTTTTTCAATGATTATTTCATTTATAAAAGGAGCACTATGGTATGGAAAAAAGTAGCTCTAATATCACAAAGAACACCTCAAACAATGCAAATCCACTTGTTTCCGCCTTGCAGGGGGGCGCGTGTAGCAGACAATTGATTTTGAAAATCCATTGTGCTGCACCAGTATATTCATTTTACTGCGCCATTGCCAAAGATCGAAAACGAAGCGATGATGTATACTGGCACCTTGATTCAGCAGCCACTGTTTCCACTACCATCATTACCATTGACTAGCCTACTACAGTAGACAAGATACACTTTGATAACTCCGATTTTTTTTGTGTTTGCTAATTACTTACGCTCCGAAATGCCCCAGTGCAAAGCATACAAGTGCACAAACCATTCAGGGAAGAAGAAACTGAGGGCCTAACATCTTCCCTTTGATGTGATGTTCCACACTTTCCCTCGACCGTCGTTGGTCACTGTCACTCTCGGTGTTTTCATCGTCAGCCTCCGATGCATTCGGCTTGTACAAATACAGTAAGACACCGTTTCCTCCATGCTCGCTTTTCCATTGGTGTCTGAATTATCCATTTCATACGAACCATCTGACGCTGACAAAACCAAACTTTCTTTGCCGCTCCAGCTAACTGTCATAGTCACCAATGGTTTGTGTTGCCATGGAGTTCTCACTATGACGCCGTTTCAGATAGTCGCGCTGTGCTGAGGTTACTTGGTTGAAGCTCAGCTACTCAATTTTAAAATTAAAATTCTACCATTCTGAATTACTTTTTTGATATTCTTTTTTTGTCTTTGCAATATCTTTAGCATAACCATTTGAACGGGCTGTTGATCGCTGTCGTCGAATGCCGCATCATTTTCAGCGTCTGCTTGCCGAAATCTGAGCTCATTGGGCGTCCATTCAGGCTCAAACAAATAGGGCACATTTCCCCGTTCCTCCATCATATCTATCACAATTTTCACAACACAAGTGATTGAAATTCGATGATTTCCAGTCGCTTATTGTATGCTGTGTTCGCACTGTTTGTGTTATTGTTTACGATTGAATATGGTGGCCAAGGTGCCGGTTTACGTCATACTCGCGGGGAATCTCACGCACTCTCGTTGGTGCGCGTGCCAATTATGGTGGCTTACACGAGCGTGATAATGAGGCGCCTGGGGCAATTTTGACTACAATTACTCATTTATTAGCGTACTGCTGAAAATTATACTGGCTGAGTAGGGTTCACAAGGGTTCAGAATAACACAATAGGCCATTTATGTGCAATTCCATAGTGCTCCTTTAAGGGAAAAAAAGCTATCCAAAACTACCTGGCCCTATCTGAAGAAGTAATTGCCCCCTCTTGTTAAATCATGAATTAACTGTGATTAAGTAAATTTTTTTAGTTCAATTTCACTAGCCACACCCAGGCCTTATTACTGCCAGACCTGTTGAATCAAGAAATCACTTAAATAGAACCTGTTTGACAAAGTGAAGTAGGCTAAAAGATCTCAAAAAGCAACAAATCATGCTGCGATCTAAAGAAATTCAAGAACAGATGAGAAACAAAGTCATTGATATCTATCAGTCAGGAAATGGTTACAAAGCCATTTCTAAGGCTTTGGGACTCCAGCCAACCACGGTGAGAGCCATTATCCACAAATGAAGAAAACTTAAAACAGCAGTGAACCTTCCCA